CTCCCCTCAGCTGGGATGAGCGTCCAAACCCAGCCCAGGCTCACCAAACAGAATCATGGTTCAGATGCTCCAGTGGCTTCATGTTCTCGTCAAAGTAGATGTCCATGGTGAGGGATGTGTCTGTGTCATGTGCTGAATTGAAGTTGGTGACAGTACGGGTGGCCAGGCCCAGGCAGCGTAGCACTGCGGAGAAGCCAGGGTTAGGGTTCTGGGCCACAGCCAGGAAGAGGTGGGGGGCAGGCAAGGCATCAGATAAGGAGTAACAGCGATAAAAGGGCAACTGGGGTTGTCAAGCTGGGTCAGGGGTCACCAGGGTTCGGAGGCCTTTAGGCCAGGGAGTGCTGGGGGTAAGGGGAAGCCAGGCCACCTGCCCGACCTGGTCCCTGCCCATCCCTCTCCTACCTCTCCCCTAGGCCTCTCTAGGTTGTTAACAGTAATTAATGATAATTAAGGCCAGCCTATCATCCACCCCCGCCTACCCCTGCTCTGTAGCCACAGCTGGGTTGGGCTGGGTGAAGGTGGAGCCTGGTTTCCCTCCCTCCTTATAGGCCCAGGCGGCTCCTGTCCCATTTTCTCCACTACCTGTGGTGGTTACACCAGCGAAGACCCAGCACTGGCCATAGGGAACAGAACTGCCAGTACGTAGGTAGCTGAGCAGGATCTCCACGCTGCCCACCCACGCAGACGGGTTGGTGCCTCGGGAGTAATCGCCAGACCAGTTCCCAATCAGGACCCCATTGTCATCCAAGGAGTTCACCTGCCCAAGACAGGATGGGGTGGGGTGGAGAGGGGGAGAGGCTTGGGACCTGCCATGTGGTCTCCAGCCCAGCCCCTGACCCTGCAACCACCCCTCACTCCTAAATGCTTCAGGAGCCAGCTGGCAGCCTGTGAGCCCCACCCACTGCTCCCAGGACCATCTGCCCCCCTCCACCCTAAGCTCACAGGAATGTGAATCCTGGGTGTGCCAAGTTTGGGTTTGGCCTTACATTCCACAAGAGCTGGACAGTAGCCGGGAAGGGTGGGTGGGGGGCAGGCAAGGGAGGAAGAGGAGGAGTAAGACCCCTTTCCACAGCGCCCTTTGAAAGGGCAGGGACAGGGTGGGGGACCTGGAGGAATCTGAAAGGGCAGGAGTGAAGGACAGGGAGGCAGCAGGCAGACACACAGTGGCACTTGGAGATATGAGTGCTCACCATGGCAGAGATGACCCGGGAGACGCTGACTGGGTCTCCGCGGCCTCCATATGGCATGCCCCGCCGGTCCAGGATATACAGGCAGGCGTCCAGCACCCCATGGTCGAACTGGAAGAAGGGAAGGCAAAGGTGACCACAGCCCACTTGAGGCAGAGCTTGAACCCTAGGCCAATCCTTGCTCCCCTGCCCCACCCTATCTCCCCGCAGCTTCTGAGTGCACATGGCTTCATCTGCGGGGACGTACCTGGCCATAGTTCCAGGTGCGCTCACCAATCTGTGCTTCTGTCCCGTAGTAAATTCTCCCAGACTCGTTCAGCACATACTCCTGCCGCCAGTCCTCGTGATCCACATACACGATGTCCTCTGTGTCCCCAAAACACATGCCTGTTCCCCTCCAGTCCTTACCCTGAGCCCCACCTGCCCTAGTAATTCTTCATAACTCATGCTCCCAGATAAAGGGAGAGGACACCTCTAGCCTGACAGCACTGCTCCCGGGAAGGACAGAGGGAGCTGACAGGGATGGCGGGGAGAGGGTTGCTATAACCAGGGCCCTTCACCAGGAGAGGCGGGGCTCTGAGATCTTGGGCTGGTCACCTTTCTAACACTGGACATAGGTACCCTCACCTGGACAATGGGAAACTGGCTTCTTGGGGCACCCACACACAGCCAGCCAGTCACTGGGGAAGGAAGCTGACCTGCCTCCCTCCGCTCCCGACTCCAGCGGGCTTACCTGGGCACCAGGGATTAAAGAGGATGTAGATCTCATTGTGGGGTTCAAAGGGTAACTGGAACTCGCCAGCTTCTGAGTGTGTGCGGACCGTGAACTGAAACTTGCCGATGATGGCGTTAGGGGAGGTGTGGACACGTAGGTTCAGGCTCTGCTCGCTGGACTTGGTCACCTGGGCCTTCCAGCCTCCACTACCTCCCTTGCCTACTGGGATGATGATGTGGGTGCCTTTGCCCACCTCGGGGTTGTTTCCTGGAATGAGGAAAGCAGTAATTAGCTGGTAAAGACTCCCTGACGAGGATGGAGACTGGACTCTCAGCCCCACCCAGGAGTATGAGCCTAAGTGTGTGTGTGTGTGTGTGTGTGTGTGTCCCTGAGTTGGGCCATCACTCTGCTCTGTGACAGTCTCTTTGAGAGCAACTTGTCCCCACCCGATGCTTACCCGCATGTCAGGGCAGGGCCCCAGTCCAACATCCCAAACCTGTTCCCCTGACACTGAACTTGGAGGTGGGTAGGACAGACAAGGTCACTGTCACCTCTGCCTGCCTACCAGTCTCAGTGCCTGGACTGAGAAGCACAGCTGCCCTGGTTTGGCCCAGATGCCCCCTCCCCTCATGAAAGGGGAGGCCAACCTTGTCTGCTTCCTAGGACTCTAGCTTGTAGAACCCAGGACATCTCTGGTGGAGGGGGTAGGGGTACCTGGGAAATTAGAGGCTGGGGTGGGCAAGGCTAGGCCCTAATCAAAGGGTATGAGGAGTCACCTGCCCCCGGCAGCAGCATAATCACCAGCCTGGGCATTCAATGGCCAACAAGCAACGCGATGAGGGAAGTGCCTGCCCTGGGTCATGGGACACAGACACAGTTGGACAAAGAGAGCAGAGAGAATCAGCCACACACTGGGGTAGGAGAGCAGACCCAGAGAGAAAGACACAGACAGCGGAGCCTCCCCAGTGGCGCAGTAAGTTGAGCGCAGCCCAGTGGGGCTGTTCGCAGCCTCTGAGGCATGGGATCAATTCCCAGCCAGCCAGGGAGATTCCCACATGGCGCAGCAGACCTCTCCTGTCTCACCTGCTGCTCCCCTCAGCAGTGCATTTCAGTCAATCTGCCTGTTCTGTTCCCCACTCTGTCTCTAGTAAAGCCTCTCACCGTCCCATGCCTCTGGCCTGTACCCCACTTCTTGTATAAAAATAAATAAATCTTTAAAAAAAGAAGACACAGGCAGCAAAGTTGGTGGAGAAGCTGAAGCAAGCCTGAAGAGAAAGCATTTTGAGACAGAAGGCCCTGAAGTCTTGAAGAGGGCGAGCTTAGTAAAACAGGGCTACCAAGACCCTCTCTGAGCCACTCCCCTAGGGGCACACTCATATACTTTTCTAGCAGAGGTGAGGAGAGGGGCGAGGGAGGAGCCTAAAGATGGCCCTCTAACCCCTAAGCCAGATCCCCCCTCGCCCCCCCAGCACAGGGTCTTCCACTGAAGTTTCCACTGACCGATGACCATCTCCAGAATGACGCGATCGGAGGACTCATAGGGCCGAGACAGGAAGAGGACCATGTGGAAAGGCTGTCCCCGGCGCAAGATCAGCTCATCATATTCGAACTCATCCGTGTGGTGCTCTCGGCGGTTCTGGTCTGAGCGCCTACTCAGCAAATCCACACCAGTCACCACCAGCATGCCCTCTGCAAGGCCATAGCTCTGGGTCAGCAAAGCCTCATGGTGACCCCAAGGCCCCATCATTAGCCTCCCGGGCTCCCTAGAGATGCCAGGTTGAGTTTCAGCTCCCACTGAGGCCTTTCAGCTCTTGGCTAAGGGGAACAGGTAGGTCTCACCTCTGATGGTGCCATCTCCAGCTGCATTCACAGCACCACTCCGGGAGCCTCGGGAGTCTGGTCTTCGACCAGAACTGGAGCCTCCACGGGGCCCAGACCCCCAGTCATCATCTGTCCCATCTCGGCGTGTGCAGCAGCCACAGCAGCGAGCCCAGAAAGAACGACCCCTTCGGCGAGAGCGACGGTCTGGCTCTGGCTCTGGCTCTGGAGAAGGTGTGGCAGAGGGCTGCCACGGGTTCCCGCCCCAGCGGCCCACATCTGAACGGTCTGAACGGTCTGAACGGTCTGAACGAGGACCGTCCATCATGCCTGTGTGGAAGAGGCAGGGGAGGAGCTGGTCAGACCTCCTTTACCCAGCCAGCCCTCCCAGAAATGCTCTATCCGGGAGCTGATTCAGTCCCCACCAGATGACTGATCTTGACCCAGAGACTCCCCCAGAGTCTGCCCCAAATCCTCCCCAAAGAGTCTTTCCAGACTAGAGAAACAGTGCAGAGGAGTCTTTCCCCTCTCACACCCACATAGACAACCACCAAAGCAGATGCTCATTCGAGAAACCTGCCCAAGGACCCATTCTAAGAGATGCCCGGACACTTGTCACAGCCCCAAGACCCAGTGGCATAGGCCATCCTGGGGCCCTGAGGACTAGAAGTCCAGGAGCAGAGGCTTCTAGGACCCATTTCTTAGCATAGATTCCCCCACCCAAGACTCCTTGCAACAATCTGGTGGTCAGATGCAGAAGTTGGGGTCCTTGGCATTTTCCTCACTGGGTTAACTGCCTCTTGGAGCTGCCTGGAGAGGTGGAGCACCGCAGGTACCAGGAGCCTGTGCTCTATTTAGGAGCACAGCGCTGGCTCGCCTCCGAGAACTGCAGGCTGGGGCTGGCCCGCACCCCACCTTGCTGGGGCCAGACCTGGGCCAGGCAGGCGCCAGACGGTGTCTCCAGGACCCAGCGCGTAGTGCTCCTCCGAGTCCCTCACCTGGTGGCGGTGTGGCGAGTGCAGCGCTGATCCCTCGGCCTGCGGCTGGGAGGAGCAGGTCCGGACTGATGGGACAGGCAGGACAGGCTGGACGCCGCGGCGCGAGTGGAAGGTGTGGGGCGGGCCGGTAAGTGGTTTATGAGGGGGGAGGGCGGGGCTGGAAGGGGAAGCAAATGTTTCTCCATTCCCCCTGCGGGAGAGAAGAGGCCGGCCTCTGAGGGGCTGTCTCACGAGCTGGAAATCAGGCCTGCCCGCATCCTCTTTCTCCTTTCGAGGAATGCAGATGTAGGGTGGGGCTGGATAGGGAGGGCCCTCGGTCGGGGTCTGTCAGGGTGCTGGGGTGACAGTGGAAGGCTGTGGTGGGACTTTGGTGGTGCCTCAGACACACAGACTGTGTGTCTACCATCCACCAGGTAGATTCCTGACAGAGCCCTTTCTCCGGAGGGCAATTCGGCAAGCCCCTTTCCTGCACTCCCTCTGTTCCTAGTTCAGGCTGCCCACACTGTTCTCATAGGGAGGTTCAGTCCTGCCACAGTGGTCCATGAGCCTACTCTTGGGACTCATCATCCTGCCCAGGGAGGTCCCGGGATCCAAGCTGCAGACTGGTGACTTCAGCACCCAGGTCCTCAGACTGGCTCCACCAGCCAGCCCCTGACCTGCCGGCTCTACCAGATCCTTTGACCACCCTCCCCCCACCTATCCTTCTTTCTTCCTCCAGCAGCTCCACAGCCCCAGCATGAGTGAGCTGCCCCCCCAAATTCCTTGTCCTTCCAAGGTGGGGATTGGGTGTGGGGGGTATCAGATTGGGAGCAAGCTCTTTTTTCTCCCCATTCTGGGGATTTGGGGGAGGCCCAGGTGGAAGCTGAGACCCCCTTCTTAGGCTGCAGAGTACCCCTTTCTCTGACTGAGAAGTGTCTAGTTTGCTAGAGTCAAAGATTCTTCAACCTGGAATTCTTCCTGGGAATCCTGACCAACCGGCTCCAGGCATCTGCCCTGTGTGTAGCCCCACTCCGCCCTGAGCTGGGAGAAACACTGGGGATGCCAGAGAACCCCAAGACAGAGGAGGCAAGCATCTTTGGGAAGGCTGGGGCCCTGTTCTTGGGGCCTCATCCCTCTATCCCGCTGGGGCCCCAGTTCTGCCCATGGGCCACTGAACATAAGATAGTGAAAAGATTGGAAGCCAACCGGAAGACCTAACTCAGGTGATGCATCAGGCAGGTGCCTTAGGGAGTGGGGACAGAGGCTCTAGGGCTTGGCAGGGAGCCCTCCACACCCACACCAACATGTTCCTGTTTAGCAACCAGCTCGAGACCTGGCAGGGGGTCTGTCTCCACCTCCACAACCTCAGAGGCAGCAGTGGAAATCAAAATTCCAGGCAGGTCTGAGGCAGGTCAGAGGGTTTTGTGGAGGGGATGTTTGTACATTGCTATGGATACAGGAAGGGGTGAGGCCCTAGAGGTCCGGATATATGTGAGCACTTGTGGTACCATGTTGAGTCCCAAGAGACCAGGAAAATGCCTGTCACACTCTCTCCCTCTTGTTCAATCCACCTTTCTTTTCCCCCACCCAACCAGGTTTGACTCAGTGCCCTAATCCCTGAGCCACTCCCCTTTCCTCTGCTAGGAGGCCAGGGCCACAGGCCTTTCAGTCAAGACGAGGTGTGTGCGCTCGCGTGTACGCGCATGCACATGTGTGCATAAGTGCAGATTGGGGGGAGGGGGCAGGAATGAGCACCATGGGAACAGACACCCAGGTCAGTACCTCCGGCCAGGCTCTGTCCAACCATTCTACATCAATACGGAAGCTAGAACGTGAGTCCAGAATTCCAGACCAAGGTGTAGAGACAGCTTTGGCTCCAGTTCTTAAGCTCAGCAACCTTGGGTGCGTCTTAGCAGCAGTTTTCTCATCAGTACAATGGGCCTAATCATCTCATACCCGAGAGCTCGAGGATCAAATAGGATCAAGTATTTCCAAGGGATCTTCAACAGACTGTGGAATGCTACTCATGGGGATTGACACTGTTGTTTTAATAGGGTGGGGCCATGGCACCTTGGCCCACTGCTTCTGGGAATTGCCTTCTCAGCTGTAATGAATGACTGCCCATGCAAAGAGGGCATCTGGAAGGGTCATGGAGGAAATTTTATGTCCAGCCCACAGCAGAACCTGAATCCAAATCTGATCCCAGTCTGGAACCTAGACCCAGTCCCAGACCCACACCAGAAGGTAAACTCAAATCTAGCTCTCACCTAGCTTCTGCCCCGAACACAGAGACTTCAGACTTTGGTTTTCCATGATAGAGAATGGCAAGACTGAGCATAAAATGAAAGTAGAGCAGGTGAACCTAACTGTCTCTTTCTTCTCCAGAAAGGGTGCGGTAGTAATGGTGGCAGAGATGGCAGCGGCGCTGGCAGTGGCAGCATAGCAGCCTTCGGGGGCTCTCCATTTTTATTCGGTCCCAATAAATTAAAGGGCAGGGGTGAGGGTGTCTCTTAGGTGAGAACGCTGTTAACTGAAGGTAGCATTTCAGCCAGGTGCTCCAAGATGTCCACTGCTTGGCAGAGGGGGTTGCCCTGCAGGTTGAGAAGGACCAGCTTGGGGCAGGAGGCAAGAGGCTGGAGCACTGCAGGCTGCTGGAGGCCTTGGGCAGGAACGTCAAGGAAAACTTGGCAGGTGTCTCAGGTCTGCCTGCTCCCGAGCTCTCATCACTGTTTTCCCTCAGCAGCCAGGACAGCTGCCTGGAAGCCTAGTATAGGGCACTCGTTTGCTTCCTCAGGGGAGTAAGGCTCTAGGCCCATGGTGGCCAGGAAGGAAGCACAGCAGGCAGGTCAGATATGGTACAGGGAGTGGTGGAGACAGTGGCCAAGGGGAATGATAACCCTGTATACAGAGGAGTGTAAGACTCACTAACAAGAAAGGGTTGGAGTTCCTTGCGTTGCTGAGTAGAAATGCAGGCTAAAGGCTTTGCTTTAACTTCTGATTTTTAAAGGAATCAGATTTCTAGATTTTTTTCAATGTGCAACTTTCTGATTTTTTAAAAGCACCATGTGGTACCCAAGTACTTCTGCAGGCTGCCTGTTTGTCACTCTGGTTTGAGGAAGTCATCGCCACTCTTGCAAAACTCCACCAGTACAAGTTAAATACAGTCCCATACATAGCCTCTCCTCACCTTAGACTGCAGAGCCCCCCTCCCCTTTCCAGGGATCACCTTGCTTGCTGTCGGTGGTCCCGCTGAAAGGCACCGGAAGGAAGGATACGGTTGTTGCATACTGAGAGCTCCTGCAGCTGGGGTAGGTTGGCAACGCCATCCAGAGACTCGAGGGCATTGTCATTGGCCTGCAGCACCTGGGCAGCAGGGAGGGCAGGGAAGACAAGGCAGAGCAGGTTGTCAGCCTGGGACTGGTACAAGCAACTGGGAAGCCAGGATGATCAGTTTATAGTGTAAGAAAGTGCTTCTGGGGTGTGGCTGGGTGACAGAGGGGGGAAGGCAAGGGCCATGTGTGGGGGCTGGGAGGACCTAGATATCTCTGTAGGGCAGGCAGACTCTGGAGGTCCGGAGGGAGGGGAAAGGCCCACTCGGGACAGTGGTGGAGGTGTGCAGGCTTTACCTCAAGGCAGCGCAGGGCAGCCAGGGCTGGGGGCAGGGCTCGGAGACGATTGTGCGACAGGTCAAGATGAGTGACCAAGAGCAGCTGCTCCAGATGGCAGAGCACGGTCAGATCCTGAGGGAGGGGTGAGATAGCCAGTGAGACCTAGTGAAGTGTCCTCAGCCACCATTTATCAGGCATTTGCTCTCTGTATCCCACACAGGCTCTTGGGAACCTCAGGTGAGTGGATGGAGAAGGTAGGACACTTAACTTACAACCATGGCAGTATATGCACCACGCCAAGGACATGGGGCAGTGAATGTTGGCTGTAGGGTGGCCCATGGAGCAGATGAGGGGGTGGAGACAGGTAGAGAGGGTGGTGTTGGGGTAAACAGAACACTGGCAGGAACAGGCCTGGACAGCCTGCAGGCGGTTTTGGCAGGAGTAGAAAAGGGATGAGATAAAACTGGTATGTAGGGAAGACTGACTGGGACACATGAGGAATAGAGGATAAATAGTCTGGTCAGTTTGTCAGAAATCCTGGAAAAGTATTCAGGCTTTAGGTGTTGAGGCCCAGGAGAGAAGCATGGGGATGAGTGGGGCGGGGGGGGGGGGCGGGGGAGGAGTCACTCTGAAGGGAGAATGAAGATGTGACGGGTTGGTAGAGGGGTGGCAGGAGGATACCCAGGTGACTCGGGATTTAAACAGGATAACAGAAGGATGGGGCAATGACAGAAAGCTACTCCTGGGAGAGAAGTACCCTGGAAGGAAGATGAATTCATCTCAGTTGGACACAATGTCCAGAAAGGCGCCTGAGTCTGAAGGCAAAGCCAGGGGCATGTGAGTGGCAGAGAAGCTTGGCTGATGCCCAGGCAATGGCTACAAAAGCTGGCAGTGGAGGGAGCTGGACACCAGACTTGTGGTGACCTTAATAATGTAATATATACAGATGTTGATTTGAATGCTGTGTACCTGAAACTTACAAATGTTATAAACCAACTGCTACGTCAATTTGAAAAAGAAAAGGCTGGCTGGGTCACCAGGAAGAAGGGAGGGCTGGCAGGGGAAGGCCTGGGAAGGCCCATGCCCACACCTTGTGCCCCAGGTGCAGCACGCGCACGTCGGCATACTCCATCTTGAGCACGCTGTTCTCCAGCAAGAACTTGCTGCGCAGGTCATCTAGGTACGCTGCCCTCATCGGGTCCACAGCCTGGTGGGGATGGAGGGAGGTGTGCGTGTCAGCCGCCTCCCCAACGCTCACTGGGCCTCCTGGTGCCTGTTCTCGCAAGCCCAGGTTACCTTCAGGGTCTTAAAGTACTGCAGTGTCTCCTTCTCATATAGCAGGGGGTCCAGCGCCCGCATCAGCAGGATGATGGTGAGCAGGCACCCTGAGGAGAGGCGGGGAAAAGGAAGATGGCTCCTGAATCCTCCTCTAGTCCCATCCTCTTGAGACCTTTCCTGTTCTCCCCAAGGGGGCCCTCACATTTATTCTCAGGCTCCAGCTCCTGTAGCTCCTTACAGGATTCAAGCTCAGACTGTAGCACTGTAGACTTTTCCACTGACAGCTCACACCTGCAGGTGGGCAGGGTACAGATGGGTTGATGCCCACAGCCCTGAGGTACACCCAGTCTCCAGTCTGAGGCCATCAACCCATCCCAGTTGCCTGGTGCCCAGACCCAGAGCCCCTCTCCTTGTCTGTGTGCTTCCTGGTCGTCACCTGAAGAGCTGCTCATCTGTGGCCGAGTCCCGGCACCAGGCCTCCTGGCGGCCTGTGGGGAAAAAGTTGGCAGTAGGAGGGGATACCCATGAAAGAAGGATGGGGGTGCTGCACAAGGAGTGAGGTCTTAGGCTGCATCACCTTTTAAAAGTACACATTCCTTCTGGGCATCACCAGCCATCCAAATGACACGAAATGAATGCTGGGGCAACTGGTCATTGAGGGAGGCAGCAGGCAGGTCACAGAGCTGGCAGCATGGGGTCAAGGAAGGCATGGGCCTTGTGACATTTCAGACTGTTCCACCCCAACTCTGTCCCAGCCCCCACTCTGCCCCACCATCCTGGGATACCCAGACATGACTGGGCCGGTTCCTGCCATCTGGTGTTCTCCACTCCACTGCATGGGGTGACTCATCAACCATGAGTAGCAAGGTCTCTGTGCTGGAACCCACCTGGTACAGGGGACAAAGAAAAACCCATCAGTCCCAACTGCATCAGGCCCACAATCCATGATGCTCTTCCGCAAAAGTCGGACTCACTAGGAGGGGCCGAGAGAAGGAGACAGTCAGACAGGCCTGGTCCCGGCTCACGTGCAGGCAGTGCAGGGCATCCTGGGGGTCAGCTGGGAGAAAACACAGCCTCAGGTCTTCTTAAATCCTCTTCCTTGCCTTCCAAGTCCTAGACACCCAGCCTCTTCCCCACTGCTCACCTCGTCCCAGGAGCCAGCGGTGATAGAACCAGGCACTCTGATCATTGGGGTCAGTGAAGAAGGCGTTCTGCACCAGTTCCAGTTCTGCAGTGGCCAAGGAGGTGTAGGCTGTGGTAAGGACCTCTGTGAGCGCCTCCCAACATCCCACCCTTTTCTTGGAGTACCTCCAGCCTTCAGTTGCACTTATCTATGGACCGCTGCATGTATCAGCAGCTGCATGTATCAATTTTATCTTCCCATTGGATACCTGAGCTCCCTGCAACCAGGGGCTGGATCATACGCACCCCCAGAACCAGGCACAGAATTGGCACTCAAAAAATCCAAGTGGTAGATTTGGGGGCAGTGTTAAGCATCAGGGCTGCAAGAGAGGACTGCAGAGTCTTCCCCAGAACCCTGACTCTGTTTACCTTTGAGCAGCACATCTTCAGGGAGGCGCCCCCGTGATCCAGAGTCTGGCTGGGGGTGCAGCTGGGGTAACAGGCAGGATCGGTAATGCCAGGAAGAATAGTTGGAGAAGTTTCGGGTGATGAGGCTGTCCGTGAAGGCTAGCTCCTCTGCAGGGGCCACCGCTGCCTGAGCAGCCACAAATCGTCGGTAGTCCCAGCAGTGAACTGGGGGGAAGGGGCAACAGCACGTCTCAGAAGCAGGGCAAGAGAAGCTCTCTGGCTGGTATTCCTAGAGTTCCTTGGGAGGCCCCAGAAACACCACTGTGCACTCCATGGAGGGTGTGCTTGGCCTATTATCCCTTCTGCCATCAGCTCAGTGGGTCTGTCCTGGTTACCCCTCCCCACTCTGGGCCTTAAGCCACAGTGCCAGGATATGGGGCAAGCAAGGGCTGTAGGGCAGACTCTGCAGGCACATACAGTTTCGCTCATCGATCTCGAGGAAGCGGGCACACAACTCCAGCTCCCGGGCCCAGTTGGGCTCTGGAAGGCGGCCCAGCAGCCAGCAGCGGTGATGCCAGGTACCATAGGACTTGGGGTTCACCCTCAAGCAGCTCTCCAGGAATCCCAGTTCTGCCTTCACCAGAGCAGCCAACTCCTCAGGAGACCTGCAGAGGGGGTTAGGGGTCAGGGCCTTCCTATACCCAACTTAGCTTACCCCTGACTTTCTGTACCAAGCCCTTCACTGCCCTCTGCTTATGCTCCTGACTGCCCACTTATCCACCCTTGGATCCAGCCAGGGGAGGGGCAGGGACAAAGCCATCTTAGTTCTACACACAAAAGTTCTACACACTTTTGGGCCTCCAGCTGCTGCAGCACCTCTCGTCGACAGTTCCAGAGGGTGGCAAAGTCAGGGTTGGCTCCCAGAATCTGGCTTGTCAGTTCCAGCACTGACTCATCCAGCTCACCAGCCTGGCGCTGAGAAGACAGGTAGCAGGGTCAGAGATCACATCATTCTCCCTCTACAGGGCTAAATAACATAAATGCAACTACCAAATAGTCTTTGAATCCCATACTATACAATAGGTACTGTGCAAAGCACTTCATAGCTTTACATGTATTTTCTCATTTAATTTTCACAACAGCCTTATGCAGTAAATACAATTACTAGCTCCATTTTACAGTCCAGCAAACTGAGGCCCAAAGAGATTCAGTAAGTAATGCCCAAGATCACACAGCTAGTAAGTGACAAAACAGAGGTCTGGACCCAGGCAGCCTGACACTAAGGCTCAGTTCTTGGTCGCTGTGCTATAATAAGGGGGTCATCTGGTGAAGGGGCTGCCTCTGAGGGCCCCACCTTTTGGAAGACGGCCTGGGTGGCTGACTGGTATAGCTTCAGTTTCTGCTCCCGCTCTAGCCTTTTGGCCTCTGCCTGCTCTTCCGACGTCTTCACCTTCAGGCGCCCGTGCTACAAGGATGAGCGTGTTGGAAGGATGCAAGCTGCCTTGCAGAGACAGATACCTCGAACCTCCCACGCTCCAGGTATAATAGGGCAGCGAGGCAATGCCACGCGGGGAGAGGGCATGGGCATGCGGAGGTGAGGGGCTAGGCTCAGGGTTCTCACCATGGTGCCGGCTCAAGGTTCAGGACAGGGAAGGGGTCCAGTGGTAGCCCTTGAAACCTGGGGAGAGAGATGTCAATCATGGGAACCCCGCCCCTACTACCACCGCCTCCAGCTGTCCCCTGGAAGCCTCAGACAAGCTTGGGGAGAGACCCCCCGAGTTGTAAAAGGGTCCTAGGGCAGCTTTGCACATCCAGGAGACGCCCACCCGAACTGGGACTTGCACCCGTGCGGCCCTGCCTACAGCCGATCCGTCGGGACCGGACCGTGCCGGGGCAGTGGGATGATGGGGACACTTCGCGCCAGGACGCTGCAGCTTCCCGCCTGCCCCACAGCTCCTGGGCACTCCCGCCCCCCGCGGGCGGACCCACCTGCACTGGGAGGAGGCGTGGGGGACACGGAGCTGCAGAGCCTGCCACAGAGCATGGGCGCTGCCTAGAGCGGCGCCAACTCCCTGGCTCTCCGAGACGCAGCGCCCTCTGCAGGCCGGGGGTGGGGGGTGCTGCGGCGGAACAGGCGGGCTCCGGACGCGCATGCGCGGGCCGTCCGCCCGGCCGTCCGCGCGGGAAACGCTGTCCTAGATAGCCCTCTGGTGAGCCGAGCGCGCGCGCGGAGTCGACGGGCGCTGCCGGTCCAGTCAGCTACAATCTGAAGAGATTTCTTCAACAGCCGAAAGCCATGCTCTCACTGACCTCACTCCGACCGCCTTGGCTGCCTCCTGTTGCGAAATCTAACGGACGGAGTTTCCTGTTCTGTTCTTCCGGGACCTCTTGCGGCAATTGACGCCACTTCCTCGGACGGGACGCCCTGCCTAGGTTTCTCCTACACCTTTGCCCGCTTCCCGTGTGTTCACCTTCTCCTCCTAAGTGCTGGTGGGCTCTAGAGCCCCTTCCTCACCCCGTTTTCACTTTACACACTTTTCCTTCGAGAATGTTGACAAGTGCAAAGACTTGAGCTGCTTGGAGTTGGCGCTTCCCAGACGTGCTCTGTCCCATAGAGCTTTGCGCCCATACTTTCCCCGGGTGACTTCATCCGCACTCATGGTTTTAATTACCACCTGTAATTTGATGACACTCATATTTATATCTTCTGCTCAAATCAAGTGTCTTGCAAGCTGTAATTACACACACAAACACATTCATATTCAGAAGCCTATTGGGATATCATCTGGGTGTCCCAGAGCCATTGCAGACTCAAAAAGTCAAAGGTATCATTGTCTTCCCTCCATTCAGTATAAACTTTGGCCTTTATAATTCCTGTAGTAGCGAATGACTCTGTTGCCTCCTCACTTTTCCTTAATATCTCTTAAGCACTCTGTCCATTCCTTCTGCACTGACTTTAAGCTCATTCTGTTAGGGGGAAAGGATGTCCTGAGATAATCTTATACAGGCTTTGTGGACTCCACCCCCACTCCAGACTAAAGCCATCAGGACATTGGGAAAGACAAATCCCATCACCACCAAGGGGAGGGTGGCTGGGACCTGAGGGTAGAGTTGGGCAGCCAGGTTGGATATAAAAACCAAACACGTGGGCCTTGCTCTCTCTCTGGCTCCCGATCGCTGGCCTCCTGGCTTCACCGCTCCTGGCTTCACCGCTCCTGGCTTCACCGCTCCTGGCTGGCGGCCAACTCTGAGAGCGCCATTTTGGGATTCCTGATCGGCGGATCGGGTAGGACTCATTTAAAACTTTGTCTCCCACTTTTCTCCCAGAGCTGTACATTTCCTCATTTCCCCTTCCCTTGTAAATAAACCTTTTATTAACCTTTCACGTGTGCCTGCAGTAGAGCATTGATAAGTCCTTTTAAGCGCGCGGGTGAGGACCCACAGTCAGGCACCCCGTTTTGTATCGGGGTTGCTTTACAACAATTTCCTTTCTCCCCTCTCATTGTTGAAAGTTTTCACATCCCCTCTCTTTTCTGTTATCAGTTCATCCTCTTTGCTGCTAGATTAGTCTTGTAAAATATAGTTGTGGTCATGTCATATTTCTGCTTAAATGCTTTCTGTGGCTACTGACAGCTTTTGAGGACAGACTCTCAGCACATCAAGCCTTTGGCCGTCTGTCTCCTCTGGCCTCGTGTCCTGCCTGTCTGTTAAAAATCCTCCATCACAGCAGCTAGAACTACTTGCAGTTTCCCAAACTTATTAATGTGTTTCCTCTTCATAACTTCCTGTCTTCATACCCTTCCTTTTTCAAGTAATTCCTGTTCATCTTTAAGATTTAACTCATTTCATCTCCTAAAAGTTCTCCACAATGGCTCAGTCTGATTTAAAACACTTTCATGTGCTGTCAAAGATTGTGCTCATTTCCCTGAACCACAGCAAGTCTTGATTTGTAAGCCAGCATCTCCCATCAAATTGAAAGTTTTTTGTTCTAGCTGCTCCAATATCTGACCCTGGTTCTTAGTAGTAGCTATTTGAATGAATGAACAAAACTCTACGTAGTGAGGACTGGCGTGGCCTGGCCTAAACAATAAGTGCTGTTGTTCAGGGCTGGAGATCCTTGCGCCTGGACCAGTTCAGAAAGGTTTCCTGGCAGGGCCTATCTAGTATTCAAAGGCGGTCACTGAGTATGGCAAATGTGTGTGATGTCCATGTGAGGAGTGTGCCTATGTGGCATGTGTTTGTCACTCACATCTAGATAAGAAAGTATGGCTTTAAACTCCTTGTATATTGTCTACACCTTTCTCAGACCTTGGAAATGTGTATAAAGTGCCCACTGTATATCCTGTCCTTTCCTAGGTCCTATAACAAGTTGCAGAGGAAACGAGACACTTTTTATGGCCTAGTGTAAATGCAACCCCTTTGAAAGTTACACCATTTATTGGTTATTTTCGTGTCCAGAGCTTTGCACCCACACAGGACCACACATGGCAGGCATGTGTGGTTAAGAGTGGTCAAGAACATGGGTTCTGGACTCCTACTACCTAAGTGCTAATCCTGAATTTGCATTTATTAGCTGTGTGGCCTAAGGCAAGGTTATTTAACCTCTGTGTTGAGTTTCTGCTTTGTCTATTTCTTCATTAGTAACATAAAAATATTACCTACCTGCTAGGATTGAAGAGAAGATAAAATAAAAGAATCTACGTAAAGTACTTAGAAGATAGTAATGGGAGTAATTTTCTAATTTTCATACAAATGTATAAGGAAATTGAGATTCAAAAAGATTAAGTAACTTGCTCCCCATGTAGTAGGTGGCTGGATGGGACTTGTGTGTGGTCTGGTTCAGCCCTCCCACCTCACCCGCCAGCTGCTTTTTTTTTTGGTTGTTGTTACCACCTGTTCTTGCTTCCTGCTCGATATATACTCACATGTTCAACCAGACACCTGGGAACAGAGATGGGCACAGGTGCAGCGTTACCAGGTACAGCCTTACATCATAGGTCTGAGGGAGGAGGAAATGGGTGGATATAGGCGCAAGTAGGCAGGAAATTCCTTTAGTGATTAGCAATCCTGAAACTGGAAAGGTTGAGTCAAGCAGGTTTAAGGGGAAGTGAGCCTCATGAAAAATCTGCATTCTAGAAGGTTGGACCTGGTTTGGGAAAGAGGGTAGGAAGGGCATTTCAGGCTTGTACTATGACGGGAAGGTGGGGGGAGAGAAAAGCAAACAGACTTAGCTGACAGAAACTGAGCCAGGTGCCTTTGAAGATAAGAGCAATGGGCCAAAGACCAGTCTTTTGCTTTGAAGCAGTCAGGAGCTACTTTTGGCTTCCTATGCTGGGTGAGTGGGAACCACGCTGGTGTCTGAGGGCCGCCATCTGAATGTTTGAGGAAGAGATTTTACTGCCCTCTCTGTAGAGAAAGGAACAAGCAATATTTGAGCATTGACTGTACTCCAGACATCCTGTTTCATGCTTTCACTCGCGATGGGAAGTAGATATTATTGTCCATATATTACAGTGAGGAAACCGCCTAATGAGGTTAAATCACTTTCTCAAGGTCATATAACTCAGAGGAGATGCAGCCAAAATGAAAACTAATACCTTTGTAGAGGGAGACACTACATTGGTGGGAGCAGCCTTTACCAGAGGTGTGAACTTGAGTTTGTTGAGGCCTGAAACCCTGTGTCTCTTCACACTGGCTTTTTTCTCAATGACACTAACCACATGTGGCAATTTTGGATAGCACAGTGCTGCATTAGACTGTAAGCTTCTTTCCCTCCCAATGCTTTCTCTACTCCCATCCTCCAAAACATGCACACACACTCACCACCTCTAGGATGTGGAGCTAGTCTTGGACCAGAGACGGTTTGGAGAAAGGAAGGAACATGAGCCCTGAGTCAGGGCACCATCAAAGCTTGGCAGGAAGCTGAGAACTGGAGGCAGGGAGATTAAAGAGGAGACAGGTCCCTGGATGCTGCCGGGCAGTATGCAGGATGTGGCAGTGTGCACATTCAATCAGTTGATGTTTATTTAGTATCAGAACTGGGTCTGGGCATGTGCTGGGTGCCAGGGATACAGTGTGGGATCAGAAAGACTTGGTGTCTGCCTTCTCAGAGCTTATAGTCTAATGCAGCGCTGTGCTGGACTAGAATGTTCAATATCTGTGTCATCCAATTCGGTCACCACTAGACGCATGTGGCTAGTGTCATTGAGAAAAAAGATTTTTAATTTAACTTATTTAAATTTAAATAGCCACATGGAGCTAATGTCTAGTAGTGAGCAGGAGAGCTCAGTATGTAAATTAAGGTAGGACAGGGGCTCATGGAAAGGGCCCCTGACCTAGACTGAGGTCAAGAGGAGTTTGTTCTAGATTGGGTGAGATATGATGGTTTATATTTGTTGTTAAATTTCAAATGCTTTTTTTTTTTCTTCCTGTAAAACTTGTCAGTCAGTGAAACACAACATAGATCCCAAAAGTGCACAAATCCTGAGTGTACAGCTTTGGTCCTCTCACTTCATAGCCACAGGTATAGGGGAGAAAACATTGTAGGGGTGGGGAGTGTGAGAAGAGAGCCATTTCTGAGAAGCAGTGGGCGGGGCTTGATAGATCGGAGATATGTGAGAAACAGGGATAAAGGTGACTTGAGGTAGACTTGCAGGTTGTAAAGCTGAGGGACATTGAGAATTCGTGTCCATGGAAACATGGGTGGGGGAAAGAAGATTGCATGAGATGATAAAGGGCTGCTTCTAGCTGGCTTGGTGTGATGTGGAGATGCCCCGGGGACAGCAAGATGTACTTGCTGGAGAGGGATTGAGAGGTCAAGGTGGAAGTGTCAGTTGGGCATAGGTATGTGCAGGTAGTAATTGCTCCTCCCACAGCAGGGGGAACGGAGGGGATCCCCAAACAAGCTTTGGCAGAGTCATGGTGAAGGCGGGTTGGAGGTGTGGAGTGAAGAAATCCCAATGGGAGAGCA